TTGCTACAAAAACTAATTATATTAGCATAAGATAAATATGAATCAAGCATTAAAATATACTATTCCATTTAACAGCATGTCTAATGCAAAAGTCCAGGAGACATATTTGTTTTATACAAGCGTCTTGAAATTTAGCATTTCTTTTGTTACTACTAGTAATCCAAGCTAAACAATCCTAATTCTATTAATATTTTCTTTAATTGTTTTCATACCACTTTTCACAATTAAATTAATAACATGGCATGCACAACGTTGGTGAAAAAACTTCAAATTGTTATATAAAGGATAATTCTTGAAAATAATCTATAGCTTTTATTAGAACTTGTATTATCTAAAGTTAAACTTATCACTTTACTAACAATATCATAATCTTCTAAAACTTCAACAATTTTATTATAAATTTGTTCACCACTATGATCAACATCCATTAATCTAAATCCTAATAAAGATTTATTTAATTTACATTTATTCAAATAATGACTAGTCACACAAATATAATATTGTTTAGCTCTACCATCCAAATATCGGCAGTTAGAGCCACACTAACATAACAAGTATGTATTTTATTTTTTAATTCTAATTTCATTTTTCTAAACAATTTTATTAAATCATTTCTAGTTGCAGTTTTAGAATAACTTTTAAATCCTGGAAAAAATGAATTTTGAACAAATCTTTCAAAATATTATCTTCAACCATATTAATAGGTTGATCAGTGCAGCAATATATAAAGCTAACTGTTTCCTATATACATCAGAATTATAACGCCAAGTAGTACCCTATTAGTTATTTGAGTTTGATTGCTTTCTCTATTTCCATGTTGATTAATAGTTTATTAGCATGCCTTTTTAAAGTACTAGTCCATTATCTGAATCAGCTTATGAATATTTCCACAGTATTTGCATCTCGTTTTCTTGACTTGAACGCCATTTTCTGTCTCGTAAAACTTGTCGAAATGCGCCCAAACGTCTGATGTGTGTCTGTCTTCGCTTTCGACGGCAGTTGATGATCCCGCCTTAGCTTGAGATGAAGTTGGATGAGCACGATGATTATGAGGACGACTTCTAGAACCACCGGGAGCTGTTGGAATCGGGGGCATATTTTGAGGTGTATCGGATTCTGAGAATGGGAAAGCGGGACTATTTGAATCTCCTCCTGCATTTATGTTAGTAAAATCAGCAGGACTAGGACTAGGATAGTAGTTTCCTTCATCATTGTAATTGATGGGAGAGAAATATCTATCCATTGTAGTTGAAAAAAAAATTGATGTAGAAGAAATAAAAATTAAAGAAAGAGAATTGGAATATGGAAATTGGAAATATGAATTAAAAATTGCAAAAACTAATAAAAATTAAAATACGTGCAAATTGATAACAAAAAGATTAAGAGAATAAATGAATAATTGAGAGATTAGAGATTGGAGAATATGAGAGAATGAGAGAATTTGAGTTGTGAGAAAAATGTGAGAGTTTAGGGCCAATTTATAGAAAAAAAATGGGAAAGGAAAATGACGAAAAAGACCTCTCCAACGGCTATAAAACGGCTATATTTCAAGGGTAAATGGGTAATTTGAAAAAAAATTAAATTTTTCTATTTTTTTTATTTTTTTCTGCCAACCCGCGGGTCAACCCGGTGGGTTGACCGTTATTGTATACAGTCAACCTGCCGGGTTGACAACAGCCAACCCGACGGGTTGGCGGTCTCTCTTAGAAGGGACAAAACGGCAACCCGTCGACCTGGCGGGTTGCCATTTTGCAACCCGGCCCGCCCGGGGGTTGCTACCGAGTTGGGTTCAACCCGGACCGCCATATTGGCTGTCCAGGTTCAACCCTCTTCATTACAGGTCGGGTTAGGGTTGACCCGCCTAACCCGGCCCATTTGTTCCACCTCTAGGCAAGGGGTCCCTCATCTTGTTGCAGGAGAAGGATGTTTTGGGAATTAGCAGTTTGCATTTTGAAATGTTTTGCCAAGCCATTAATAGAGCACTCGTTGCTGTTTTGGGCTGTCTAGTTTGTTTTCAAACTAGATAGGAACTAAATTGTAAATTTTGCAAGTTTAGGGACCAATAGAAAATTCTATAGAATTAAAAAGGGTAATCCATAATTTTGCCTGGCAAATTCAAATTTGATTTTTTGAATGATATGCTATATTTGATTGATGTCTAATTCTACATGGTGTTCGGTACTTGGCCATCAACCTTAGGTTTATTGTTTTATATTATTGATGGGAATGAATGCTTGGAATTGTTTAATTATTAAATAGGACCTGCATGTCCTGCCTATCTCTTTACTTTCAATGTTTTCTCTTCTCACCTATATCCCTTTGAATATAACTCGAGGTTTCTATTTTATTTAATGTAATTTAGAATAGGACTTTATCATTGTTGTAAAGAAGATGAAGCAAAGTCGTGCAGCGTGTCCCAAAGATTTCAATGAAGTTTTGTAATAAATTTCATGAACGAAGGTTGTCCTACCAATTCCTCAAAGCTCAAGGAATTTGGTTTTAGATTGGCCATATACCGGCACATTTATTTGTTATCATAGAAAGCAAGCTAAGGTTGAATATTTTAACATGTCGGACTATAACATGTTAAAAGATAATAAAATTGGTGAGACAACAAATAAAAAAAAAAAAAAAAAGAAAAACCTCTTTAAGTTATTAAGTCACTAAATAACCACGAGCCTTCCATCACCATGACATTAATCAAACCACTGTTCGTCGTGGCCTTGCTCGCTCTTGTGAAGGGTACACTTCTACCAGTGGGAGGTTAATCATTCATTGGAGTTTTTCCTTAATAGTGATGGGTTTGACTTAACTAGGTGTATTTTGCTTGTTTGCCTCTACGAAGGTTGATAAATACACTATAGGCATAGTAGAGTAGTGCATTTAAATGATGCACAAGATGACATGAGGTGTCCAACTCACTAATCCGAAAATTACACTTGAGGATGATGGTTGATGCTATTGGATTTTGTAATTGGTTTGTTGGCTTGATTTACATTTGAGTTTAATAGTTGGTGCTATTACATGATGTAGATTGAAGTTTATTGACCTACCTAATCATTCTGTTTTTAACTTGTTCACCCCTGTGAAGGTTGAAATAGAAATGATGGGATTTCGGCCCACTAGAAAGACCAATGGGCCTTCTTGAGTTTAATAGTGAGGGCTATTGAGCTGGAGTAAAATAGTGGGAGTAATTGATTAATAAAAGGCCTTATTAATTAGTATAGTATTAACTCTGTTTATTTTTGCATTTGAAGATTCACTTTCATAATGACCACATCTACCCTATCACTATGATCGATCATCAATAAAGAAAGCAAGTTGGATGGTACGAACTTCACTGACTGGTATCAAAGTCTAAGGATTCTAATAAAGTCAGAAAACAAGCTGTACAACATTGATGAACCTATTATGGAAGTGCCAAATTTGAGGCTACTTAGGAAGCAAGAGATACTTACCAAAAGTATCCAGATGATGTTGAGATTATTCAATGTGTAATAATGGGATCATTGACACTTGATCTGCAAGAGCAACATGAGCATTTGGATGCTATTTCTATCATCATAAATCTCAAGGAACTCTTTCAGAATCATGCTAGATAGGAATGCTATGATGTGTCAAAGGCATTGTATAGATGTCGAATGTCTGAGGGATCCCTAGTTGGCCCATATGTAATAAAATGATTGGTTACATTCAAAGGCTTGAGATTTTGGGATTTGTCATGGATGATGAACTTTCTATGAATATTGTTCTCCAATCCTTGCCTGACTCTTTCTCCCAATTTATATTGAACTTCAATATGAATGCAATGGAGAAGACTCTCTTAGAGCTATTGAAATTGCTGAAGATAATGGAGAAGGGCATGAAGAAGTTCAAACTAGTGCTGTTAGTTGCTGCTACACATGGGAAAGGAAAGGGTAAACAAGGCAGAGGAAAGGCCAAGGCCAATCCTAAGTTTAAGCCTAAAACCCAAGATGTCCTTAAGCCTACTTGAGGCATGAGCAAAGATGGAAAGGCTGTTTGGTTCCATTGTGGCAAGCTTGGCCATTGGAGGAAACATTGCAAGGCCTTCCTAGTAAGTAAGTAAGTAAGTAAGTAAGAAGAATTCTACATCATCTTCTGAATGTATGTATATGATTGAAAGAAATCTTTCTCTTGTTACATCTTGGGTCATTGACACTGGATGTGGTTCTCATAATTGCAATTCTATATAGGGACTGCGACAAAGTAGATCGCTTGATTGAGAAGAAGTGGACCTACAAGTTTGAAATGGAGCGCGAGTTGCTGCATTAGTCATAGGAAATTAATATTTGTCTTTGCCTTCGGGTCTTGTATTAGAACTCTTGAATTGTTATTCTGTCCCTTCAAAGAACATAATTTCTGTGTCGGCTTTGGACAATGTTGGATATAAATTTTTGATAACTAATAGGTCATTATCTTTTAGTTTGAATGGTATTCAATATGGAACTGCTAGATTACATAATGGTCTATATATTCTAGATTTTAATAATAATGAAACATTCAATCTTGAAAATAAGAAAGCCAAGAATGGTGGCTTTAATCAAACATATATTTGGCATTGTAGGTGTAGGTTTATGGATCTATTCACGCAGCAGAATTTAAAATATTTAGATCCAAAACCTAACCCATGATCCTTATATTTGTTGTACATTATTTTACACATGAAATTAATTATCAAGATGTAATAGAAACCATACCAACGTTTGGAGGCTCCTTCAAGGGATTTAGATTCGCTTCCACTCCAAGATAGGAGTGTACAAACAGTATCCACACGAAGATGAGACTAATGCCTTTGGTTGATTTTATTGGCTAGTAAAATCACCAACTTTAAGAACAAAAATCTGCAGAATTTTTCTTTGGGAGAAAAATTCTTTCTCTCACAAAAGGCTGCACGTTTTGGGAGGGAGAGGAAGGGGTGGCTAGGTTTTTTTTTTTTTAATTGAATGAATTATTTCATTTTAATTTCTAGCCAACCTTCTTGCAAAAGAGATTTTTTCTTAACACCGTGCGTGTTGGTACTGGTACTAAATAAAATGGAAACTCCAACAATTTCTTTGTTCTCAACGCCCCTTAATTTCTAGGAATTAATCACTTCAACAGTCTTCGATGGTTATAAGGGTATCCAAAGTACGGACGAGATGGATCTTTGTTATCCCAACCATTCTTCTTAGTCCCAATCCTGATAAGGAAAAGGGGTAATTTATAACAAAGTTTTCGTGTTGTTGATTCCTAGGTATAGCTCCCCTTCCCCTATGCTGCCTATTAGTACTAGTGTAGTAGGGTTGACTTGCAATACAGAACCCATAGGTGTAGCCATCTATTCCAATAGGATATTGGAATAGATTACCCTTGCAACCAAACATGGCATTTCAATTCAAATTTAAAAAAAAAATTTGAATTCACGTTATCAATATTAATTAATTAAAATTAATATTGGATATATTTAGATATATAAATATATATAATATATATATATATATATATATATATATATATCTCACTATCAAGATTTCAAACACTCGATACACTTGTCATGGTTCTACCATCCTAAAGACATATATCATTTTCTTATACGAACATAATCAGATCACATGATATAGATAGATGCCTTTATTGATAATAAAACATGATTACCAAGAGTCAATTTACAAAATAGGATTGGCTTTAAGGCACCTACTCTAACCGAAGAGCTTTAATACTCTTGCCTAACATATTCTATACTTCACTTCTGAATTCTTTGAATTTATCAAAGGCTTCAAATTTATGTCTCATAAGGTAGACATAACCATATCTATCGAGGTCATCAATAAACGTGATGAAATACAAATATCCACCTTTGGCTTCAATTGTTAGTGGACCACATATATCACTATGGATGATGCCTAACAATTTAGTAGCCCTTTCACTTTGCCCTGTGAAAGGCGACTTGGCCATCTTGCCTAAAAGGCATTACTCACATACCTCAAATGAATGAAAGTCAAAAGGGTCAAAAACTCCATCCTTGTGAAGTTTTGCAATGCGGGTCTGATTAACATGACCTAATCTACAATGCCAGAGGTATGTTTGGGTTTGATCACTATGTTTAGCTTTCTTTGGTTCCACATTGAGAATATCCTTATTGTTTAAATCTAGAACATATAATCTGTTATATAACCTGGCATTTCCATATACAATACCATTCAAACTAAAGGACAACAATCCATTAGAAACCTCAAAACGATATCCCATATCATCCAAAACGGATACAAATATAATGTTTCTTGAAATGGAAGGTACAAAATAACAATTATTAAGTTCTAAAATAGGCCTATAGGCAATAAATAAGATCCTATAGCAAATGCAACCACGTGTGCTCCATTTCCAACTGGTAGGTCCACTTCTCCCTTTGCAAGCTATCTACTTTTCCTTAGTCCTTGCACATTAGTACAAATGTGAGTACCACATCTTGTGTCAATGACCCAGGATGTTGAAGGAGAGAAGTTAATCTCAATCATATACATACTTGAAGTCAAAGCGTCTGACTTTTTCTTGTTTGTGAGGAAAGCCTTGTAGTGTTTGCTCTAGTGGTCAGGCTTGCCACAATAGAAGCAAACTACTTTCCTACCTTTCCCAATGCCACCCTTAGGCTTGAGAGCATCCAGTCATTTAGGCTTGGGCTTGACCTTTCCCTTGCCCTTACCCTTACCCTTACCCTTACCCTTACCTTTATTGGCAGCAATCAATAAAATAGGCTTGGACTTTTTCATGTCCTACTCTGCAGTCCTGAGCATGTTCAGAAGCCCTGACAGGGATTTCACCACCGTGTTCATATTGAAATTTATTATGAATGGTGAAAAGAAATCAGGTAATTATTGTAGAATTAAATCCACTTGCAAGTCTGCATCCATACCAAACCCCAAACCCTAAAGTCTCAAGCCTCTCTCTATCTACTTAATCATCTTGAGCACATGAGGACCAACATGAGCTTCCTCAGTCATACGACTCATAAACAATTCGCTCGACACCTTATACCTCTCATAATGAGCATTTCCTTCGAAAAGCTCCTTGAGGTATAGAATCATGGCAGCAGCGTCCATATTCTCATACTGCTTTTGCAGCTCAGGTGTCATTAATACTAGCATAATGCATTGAACATTATCAACATCATCAAGGAACCTTTGGTAAGTGTCCTTTACTTCCTAAGTGGCGTTAGGATCGTGCTCAGCCATATAAGGCTTATCAAGGATATACAATTTCTTTTCAGAATTTAGTACAATCCAAAGATTTTGATACCAGTCTGAGAAATTGGATTCATCTAGCTTGTTTTCTTTCTCGATTATCGATCGCAAGTTGGTATTGCTCATTTTGGTGAATCTACAAATGCAGAAAAGTAAAATATATTATCATGTTTATTATTATTATTTAACAAGGTCTTTTATTAAATAGTTGCTCCCACTAGTTTCCTTAAGCCAATGGTCCTCAAGCCACTGAGATCCCATCTAGCCCATTTCAAACCTTCGGTTTGGCAAACAAGCCAAAATGGGCTGATTAAATAGGCCAACAAACTTAATTTTCACTAGTTGATAGCTCTAACTACCAACCTCAAATGTGAAATAAGCCAACAAAACAATCACATAATTCAACGACTGAAGCCATTGTCCTCAAGTGTGATTCTCATTATTAGTAGAGTGGACACTACATGTCGCCACATACACACAACAAATGCACTTCTTTACTATGCCTATGACAAGCTTATCAACTTTCGCTTTGGCAAACAAGCAAAACTCATCATTTTCAATCAACCCATCACCATTAAGGAAAACTCCAATGACATTCAACCTACCACTAATAGAAATGTACCCTTTGCTTTGGTGAACAATGTTCCAACGAATAGTGGTTTGATTAAACTCATGGTGATGGAAGACATTTCAATTTTGACTTAATATACTTTAGTTGAGGGGTTTTTATTTGATGTCTCACCAATTTTATCTTTCTTAGCATGTTATAGTCATAACATACACCTTTAGCATGCATACTAAGCGTAAAATAAACGTGTTGGTGCATAGCCTTAACTAAAACTGATTCCTCGAGCCTATAGGAATTGGTAGGTCAACCTAGGTTTAATTACTACTTTGGATTCTTCAAGTAATTTGCCTTCTCCTTCCTTCGCTTCTTCTTCTCGAACATTACACAACTTTCAAAATAAAATTAAAAATCCAATTTTATATATTTGAAAAGAAACCTCGAGTTACATTCAAGGGGAGTGAGATAAGAGAGAGAAGAACAATAGAAATAATAGAGTAAGGCAGGGCACATATGCCCTATTTTAAATTACATAACCCAAAATTAAACTAGGTCCATAGGCTTATGCACCATACACCATGCATATTCACATACAAGAATCATGCATAAAACAACCAAACTTAAATTTTGATTTGGTTTGGTAAATTATGATTACCCCTTGATGTTTAGCAATATTTTAGGTCCAATAATTTATAAAAATTGTAATTTAACCCAATGGATTCGGGCCTCACTCAATTGGGCCTCCAAAATACTTCCAATATGTAGTGACATATATCCAAAATTTTTTTGGATTTTCTTATCACACAACAACGCGAAAAAAAAGTCCAAAATTCGGCCCATTGCATCTTTGTGTGGGCTGTCCTGTTTTTCAAGATTTGACATGAATTCTGATGCATATTAGATCAGACACTTGGCTGGAAAACCAAGTGCCAGTCAAGGCCAAGTGCTGGTGGGCACTTGGCCACCACGAGACCACCACTAGCTAGGCAAAACAGGTCGGGACAGCAGCAGTGTGCTGTTGTGTGCTGCTGTGCGTGGGCAGCAGCCTTGCAGGCAGCAGCACTAGCCCCACCTCCTTGGTACCAAGCAGTGCCTAACAGTGGCGCCTAAAAATGCCGTGTGCACGGTGCTGCCCCTATAGCGCACATTTGTGTGTTGCTGCTCTTCTAGCGCAGCTACTGCCCTCTTTTAAAGGGCAGCCACCGACAGCCGCCACCAATAGCCCCTTAAGGGCAGTTCGTCCAGCATCCAAAATCAATTTTGATTTGATTTTTTTGAACTTGAAGCAGAAAAACAGATGCAAAAATCCAGCATAACATCTCAACCAAACAAGTTAGCCAATTTTTAGATTTTAATCAACATATTAAGACCTTAACATGCATTATCAATATCAATAGTCATCCAATCGATAAAATAATAATACAAACAAATATAACCTGGCTCTGATACCACTGTAGGTTTATGGATCTATTCACACAGTGGAATTTAAAATATTTAGATCCAAAACGTAACCCATAATCCTTATATTTGTTATACATTATTTTACACATGAAAATAATTATCAAGATGTAATAGAAACCATACCAGCATTTGAAGGCTCCTTCAATGGATTTAGATTCGCTTCCACTCCAAGATAGGAGTGTACAAACGGTATCCACATGAAGACGGGACTCATGCCTTTGGTTGATTTTATTGGCTAGTAAAATCACAAACTTTAAGAACAAAAATCTGCAGAATTTTTCTTTCAGAGAAAAATTCTTTCTCTCACAAAAGGCTATATGTTTTAGGAGGGAGAGAAAGGGGTGGCGAGGGTTTTTTTTAATTGAATGAATTATTTCATTTTAATTTTAGTTGCACTTAAATAGTGCACACTAAAACCCTATTTTAAATTGGAATAGCCATCTATTCCAATTGGATATTGGAATAGATTACCCTTGCAACCAAACATGGTATTTCAATTCAAATTTAAAAACAAAATTTGAATTCACATTATCAATATTATATATATACACACACTAAATATGTAAAACCCCTCCCTAGCCGGGTATTTCTTAAGTATCCCTTGGCCATTGAGAACCTAGAAAATGCACGCCTAGGAAAGAAGTTTATTTTAAAATCCTATTTAAAGAATAAACTTATAGTTTAAAACATATATATAGATATATGTGTTTTATTTTTTTCCTTAACTATAATAAGTTCATTGTGTAATAAAAAAAAATATAGTTTCCTTTCTTGGAGTAAATTATGAAATCCATAGTAATACTTACTAGAACATACACACTTTTATAAAATTTACTAGCAATTTGATTTCCTTTATTAATACAACATATTTACTCAGTATAGAACATGGACATAATTACTACATTATGAAATATGAACATAATTACTACACAATATTAGCAAAACCATTCAATAGTCATCATTAAAGCATCCCCTCATGCTCATAGCGGCCCTTGGAATCCTCTCCAAATTCATGCCTTAATCCGACCTGCAAAACATTTTAAAACATTTCGTGGGGTGAGC